TGACCTACAGAATCGTAGATGATAATTCCTGCTTTTGACCAACTAAATTTATGGCAAAATTTGTTTCAGCACCTGGGGAAAATTACTCCGGCCAAGTGGCTGGGAATGGGAATGACAGTCGCAGGCCTACACACATCTTTATGATATCACCAACATCACACTCAGAAAGTCCCTGCTGGTATCTCCTGGGCAGGGACCCATAAAGCCCCTCCCAGAGACAAGTGGGTCGGCCAGAGGGTCTAGATGGATTTGCCCTCACTGGCCTTATCCTTCTGAAAGGAAGCCATGGAAGATGCCAGAGGCATCAAAGCTCAGGGCAGGAGACCTTCTAGTAGAATGTCTACATCCCAGCATGGCACACGGGAGGCAGGGTGACCATCTAGGAGAGACCAATATAAAATGAATGACCAAGGCCATCAGATAGGCACCAACATGCTCACTGTTTTACTTTCACTTTATTTCATTGTCTCATTGTTTTATTATGAACACCCAGCTATACTTGGGTAATTTTTACCTTGTCTTCCTAAAACACTTTTGTGCTTATTGGAACTAAAAGGAATATTGCCTCCCATACACATTCCTCTTTCCTTCCTCTTCCCTAAATTGTTATCTTTCCACTGTATGATAGATATGTCCACAGTATAACCAATAACTCAAATCTTTTACTTACAGTAAAAGATAATACTGTGAACAGAGAAGACTCCTGCTCAGCCAGTTCTTTTATGCATTTACTCATTTAGATGATATTCTCTTTGAGCAAGCACTTTAAAACAATATGAAATTTTTTTACTTGACAAATTAGTGTTTCTTCTAGTATCCAGAAGACAAATTTTCACTTACTATGAAGATGGGCTTTGCCAACTGAATCTCAGGCACAACATTATAAAGATTTAAATGTCATTTCGGTGTTACCATTTGCTAACTTTAAATCCTCATCAAACGCATATTTTATTAAATGCGACCCATTCTTTTACATCAACTGACCAGGTGTCTTGAAAGGTAGTTTGTCAGGAGCTTGTACAAAACCAGCCTGAAGAAATCGTAGGTATAAATCTTAGTACCAACAAATCAAAGCAGAGTTTCTTGTTCTCTTCAGTGATACTTAAGCATACCTTAGCATATAAACGACTTCATTTTTTTAAAAATTGATTGTCTTGAATATTGAAAAATATATGCAGCCGCTAAGCAGTGTTTACATGTATGTTGTAGCAATTTCAGAAAGAGCCAATAAGATGTTACATGGAAGAAGAAAAAAAAAACAGGGTATCCAGCTGAACAGAACAGAATGGGAGCTCTCAGCACTTAACAAAATACAGTGAATGAAAAAAGACTGGAAGGAACAGGATTCTGTTCGATTCTGTTCTGCCTCGTGAGGCTTTCCTGTCCCTTTCGTGTTTTATGTAATGAACATGCATGGCCTTTTCCTTTTCTACATTTTTTAATTGATTCATGCTCACTGTAGCGATGCGTTTCTTTTATAATCAGGGGGGAAAAAGTTTAGCAAAATGCTGAAAATGGAAAGGTCAGTGAGAGTGTGCTCTCAAGGAATTCACCAGCTTGAGAAACGATGTGGCTGAAAATATCAACAGCCTCAAGAGAAAGTGAGATGGATTCACAGCTGGGTCAGGGGACAGAGAGGGAATTCATATTTACTGAACGCCTACCACAGGCCTTCTGCAGACAATTTATACATGTCTTGTCTCATTTCATCTGCATGATAATCCCATGAGCCAGGTACTATGGTTGGTTCCTTTTAACGGATATGGGAACAGAAGCTCGGAGCAAGGCTAGGACATCTCCATCTTGCACATGAGGTAAGACAAATTTGAACCCGGTTTCTTGGGCTGTAGCAACCAAGCTCTTATCCTTGCATGGTGCTGCCTCGAAGGCAAAGTGGGGACAGGATAACCTCAATCCCAAATGTACTGGGGGTCCACTGGGATCTTGTCCAGCCCATGATGGAAACTGAATCCCGGTGTGCCTCTGCCCTCGGTCCATGGCCACTCTCCACCAAGAAGTCCTTTCCTTTCCCACCCAAATTATGTCTACCACCCACGGCCTGCTGCAATGATCATCCAGGCCCAGGAAAGAGAGAAGATATCCACCAAGCAGGACCACACCACAGGATGGACAGCAGCCCAGAGCACAGAAGGAAGGACATGCAGAGAGTTGAGTGCCTGCCCAGCTGAGCCCCAGGCTAGGGACAAGGAGCCTCTGAGCACTGCTCTGCACTCCCTGAGGCCCTTGAGGGGCTGGCTCTTCCTATCCCTTGTCAACATCCAAGGTCTGTGCAAGGTCATGGGATAACAATGTGGATTTCTGCCCACACAGCTCATCAGTTGAAAGCACATACCAGCTTTAACCAGCACACACTCTCTGGGCAGCAGGCATCCCAGTAGCACCCGGTCAGTATGCTTCTACCCGGATGTCATCAGACATCCCTCAGTCACGAGGATCCAACTCCCTCCTTCTGGACAGGTACACACGCTCCCCCTCACACCCTCTGAGACTGTCAGCCTGTATCCCTGGAGCCTGAGACATTCTCCCAATCATAAAAATACAGAAACTGAGATCCAGAAAAGCAAGACCCTGGATCTCCAGGACAAAGGTGCCCTGGGGCTTGAAGGTTGAATGGCCCACAGGTATGTTTTGTTTGGCTTATTGTTTAAATGGTTTGATTCGTTGACAACAGTTAGAAATCAAATTTTATAATTAAAGTCCGGATTTACGGCTCCCCTTACAAAAAAAAATCGGCACATCTACTATACTAGGATTTTCGTTCCCAAATGGCAAAATCGGCTACGACTGTATAACAGCTGCTCCTTTTAACAGAGATGACCTCTCCAGACCGCACGCTACAGGCCCTGCAGGGTCCAGCTGCCCGGTTCACCTATGTGTGTCACCTGCCTAAGACTGTAACCCTGGGCAAGAGCATCATCTTCATTCCCTGGAGACCTGCTGTTGGAGGGAGGGGGGATGGGCATCATTCAGGAGCAAAATGAATGAACATGGAATACTCCAAACAGCAGAGGGGAAGTCAAAAGAAGCAAAATATGTCAACAGAGAATGTGGAACAGCCAAAGCAGCATGTGGAACACAGGCAGGATCACCACCACACTGTGAGCCCCTGGGTGCAAGAAATGCATATGTCCACCTGTGTCCTCAGCTCCCAAGCACAGAGAATGACTGTCCACAGAGACAAATGTGTAGAAACAGTGTCAAGGGAGCAAGAAGCACTGTAAAAATCATGGCATGTGACTGGATAAGTCCGTGTCACCCCAGATCCCCACCCCAGTTAGGGTCATTCCTGGCTAAGGAGGCCCCACCCTCCCTGGCTGGAGCTCACACCAGACACTTGCAAGGAGGTGTAAGGAGATCACACAGAAAGGAAGTCCAGGGGTGGGCCATGTGAGGGCAGGGGCTGTGGTAGGCCACACAGACACCAAAGGATGGGGATTCCCCCTTCTGTACCTCAGTGCACATCAGACAATAGACGTCTGCCAAGGCTGGAAGCAGCAGTCCCCACGATAGGCAATGCCAGCTTCACCCCACTCGCCACCACTCCAAAAACACACTCAAAACTCCAGGCCTATACACCCACTTTAAGGCATCCTTGGGCCTTCAGGACTCACAGTTGAGCCTTCCCCTTCTCTGCTGCACCCAAGAATAGGAGACTCCCAAAGACCTCCTTCTAGCACAAAGTTCTCTCCAGCACCAGCTCTGACCTTCTGGACACAGATCAGAGGCTTCACTGAATCACCCTACCTGTGCAGGTATCCAGGAGCCCAGCAGCCAACATATAACTCAAGGCAGCAGAAGGGCTCTGGGCCCAGCCACTGGAGGGATGGGCTGGGGGAGTGCAGGAGCTGGCCTGGAACACTCAACCAGCCCACCTCTTACCTATACCAGCTGTCCTGTCAGTCCCTCCTGGGAGGAATCCCTGCATCCTGTGCCACCAGCTGGGTCCCCTATCCTCACACTCCAGGGCAAGGGCCTCAGAGTCAACCCATGGATATGGAGAGCAAGCCAGAGCATAGAAAAAGGCTAGGCAGATGCCAGAGGTGGAAGGAGCCCTAGGCCCTGATCAGGAAGGTGGCTAGTGACATGGAGGAGGAACGGGGCTCCAGAGCCCAGCCCTGAGCCAGGTGAGAAGGAAAGGAAAGAGAGAGGAGGGGGAAACAGAGGGTGCCGCCATTGAGAACGCCCCCGCCACGCACCCGTTAACCCCCTGCTGGCGGGTCCAAACCGAAGCAGCTGGCTGCAGGCCAGGGCGGCCGGCCGCACAGGCAAGGGCTAGGATTCCCTCCCCGCAATCCGGCCGGCCCAACTCTGCTTCGTTTCTGGTCAAACAGCGCCCACTTCCGGCCCAGGCGACGGCGCCTCCGCCCGCGGCAGGGACAGCGAGAGAGAAACCGGCTCCTCCAAACCCGGAGGAGAAGCACGGCACAGACACGCCGGCCGAGGCACTCAGTGGGCGCAGGGCACAACATGCCGTACGTAACAGATTGTGCTGCGTAGAGGGGAGTCGGCGGGCTCCGGCGCCAGGAGCTCCTTGCTTCCAGACGCGGAAGACCCCTGCCCATGGAGGTCAGGGGCGGTGCACCGACACAGGTACCCGGCACGCAGACACGCCCACCCACAAACACTCAAGAAACAAAGACGGCCCTGAGCTACATACGCCTGCGCCGCCAGCGCTGGGCGCACACACGCGCGCACCCAGCTGTAAAAGAACCGCACAATCCCGCAACACGCCCGGCAAAGAGCCCAGCTCGCTGTGCTCACAAGCTCCCGGCTCCAGCTCGCCGGCGCAGAGCACTTCTCGCGCCACCGTTTGGTGGGCTGGCGAGGGCGCGCGCAACGTGCTTGACACCGCGCGTCTGCCCAGGTGCACAGGGGGCTTTGGGTGGCCAAGCCCGTCCCAACCCCGCGGGTCTCCGCTGCTGCGCCGCCTGGCAGGCCGCGGCCCTGTTTAGTTAGCCCTAGGCGCCGTAGCCACTCACCTTCCTGAACGGCCTGGAACGGGTTGTTGGCCTCGATGACCTTGATGGAGTAGGTGATCTTCTCGCTCTGCAGGATGTCATCGTTGAGGCTGAGGTCTGATACGGCCAGCTGGAACACCCTGTCGTCCTTGGCCGCGTTCTCCTCGAAGATGGCACCTAGAGGAGAGGAGGGGTCAAGACCCGGCCTAGAGAGGAGCTCTCCCTCCCCACCCCACCCCCACCCTAGCCTTGGCCTACGGGTCATGATGCTGGCAGGTCGGCTGGTTGCCTGGTGGGGAGTTTCTCGGACTGGGGTTTCAGCTAGACAGGACAGTTTAAGGCTCTCCTCGTCAACCAGCACGGGAAGACGTCCCCCACACACTGAGTACATGTGCACACAGTTGACACGAGTTACACATTGCATATGCTGCCACCAGGTCACACATGTGTCTCACAACCAAGCCACCTCATGTCCCAACCATGCCCCACGGACTGAGGCAAGCTGGAGTGGCCTCAGGCAGCACCTAAATGCCTTGATATGGCCCCTTGAATCCCATCGCAGGAGCCAGGAATTTCCCCTGCAGGGCAACGTCCCAGACCCCAATCCCAAAATGGAATGATGACTTCCTTCTGCCCTAAGATCCCCCTTTGAGTGAAGCTGAGTAAGCAGGTCAACATTGAGTTTGCTGCACCTGGGGGCTTCTTTACGCAGGGGCCTGGATGATCAGCAGGTCAGTCCCATCCTGGTTCCACTTAAGGCTACCCAGCCTGGCTCCCTGGGCTCCACCCCTCCTTGCTTATTCCTGCGTGTATGTGGAAGGAGAGGGGACTGTACCCTAGACCCCTTCCCTTCAGACCCAGTAGAGCTGAGGCCCTCATAAGGTACTGCTCTTGAAAGGGCCTTCTAGAACCGCGAACATCTCCAGGGCAGCCTCGGGCTGGCCCTTTGCGCGCTTAGCACCGCCTTGGCGGACTCTGCGCTTCCAGCGGAGATCGGTCCGATTCGCCAGAGCTTGGCCCTGCAGCCTGGGCAACTCTGGAGTCTCCCCAGCCTCGCCAGGCCCCGAGGGTCCCCACGGTCCCAGGACTGGGCCCGATGATCCCGGGAGCTGGGGACTGGGCGGGAGGACGAGGCCCGGGTTCCACGTTACACCCAGAGCCGCAATGCTGACCGCGAGACCCGAGGCCCCCCTCCCCCCGGGCGGGAAGCAGGTTTGGCGCCGGGCCCCTGCGGGGGGCGTTGCAGCTCACCCAGCCGAGGCCTACTCCCTCACCACTCCTCCCCACCCCCCACCCCACGCCCTGCCCGTCCCATCATCCCTGCCTTCTCACACCTCCCAACCCCCAGTTTCTCTGTGCTCGCTGGTCTTTCCCAACTTCCGGAAAGGCGACTGCAGAGGGGCTCCCCCAAAGCAACCGCTCTCAGCCCCCCAACCTGGCCCAACTTCCTGGGATTCCTCCCCTGTCGCCACCAACTCCCACACACTCCCCTTCCGCGCGCCCCCTCCTCTTCTCATCTAGCTCATCTCTCCTGGTTCTATCCCTCCATCCATCTCTTCCCGCTCAGCGCGCACACACACACTCCTCCCCACCCCCCGCCGCCCACGCTTCTTCCCCCGGCTACCACCACCTGGACCGTCTGCCGGCCCCCAAGACTTGGACCACGGGAAACTCTGGAACTGTCCAGGATTGGGCTGCAGTCGCCACAACCAGAAACACAAACACCCACACATATACTGCGAGATACACAGACACACACCGGGGAAACAGGCAGACACTGTGTCCACTCTAACAGGCTGACAGTCGTGCACGCACCAACGCTGGCTCAGATGGACCCACACATCCCAACGCCCTCTCGCAGTGACACCAACACGGTGCCAGGCGCACACACAGCGATACACGCTGACAACACCCACCCACCCACATTCACACACGGTTCCGGTCGGGGCCTCTTTGATCCTGCCCTGCCAACTTGGCGAGACCCGGGGCCGTGCCCGCCCCCTGCCCCCCGCTGCTCGGAGCCCGCCGACGGCCCAGCCATGGGCGCGGGTCCGGACGCGCGTCCAGCCCCGGGCTCCCCGCAGCCGCGGCCCTAAGTGTCGGCAGAGGCCGCAGGGATTGGAGCCCCGGGGAGCGGCGAAGAGCCCGCGGGAGCGCGGCGCGGCCCATGCACAGCTCCTCCGCGGGGCGGCGCGGCGCGGCCCTTCGGGGGAGCACCGCCCGCCGAGCCCCTCGGCCCGGGGAACCGCCAAGTTTGGACGCCGCGCACCCCCCCACGCCGCTGGGGCCCCCGCCCAGCCTCGGCCCCAGCTGCCCGCCGCGCTCACCGATGTGGATGATGGAGTCGGCCCGCACCGACACGCACTGGCATATCCAGGGGAGAAGCCACAGCGTCAGCGCTTCCATGTCCCCCGGGCGCGCGGCTCATCCGCCCGGGCCCGGGGCGAGGCCGAGGGCAGCGCGGAGCGGGGAGGCGCCGGTCCGGGTGCAGTCCCGGGCCGCTCCCCGGGAGAGCCGAGCCCGCCCGTGCGTCTTCTCCCGCGCGCCCGCCCCTGCGCCCTGCGCCCGCCCCAGCCCAGCCCAGCCCAGCCC